AAAAAACGCACCCACACCAGCGACAACGGGTGCGGAGGGCCAAACACCCCGTTGGCCGGGGAAAATGAACCTTGGTCTGTGCGGAAGTCCCACGAGACTATGCAGTCCATCAGTCTAGGCAAAGCGATCAACAACGAATGGTGGGAAGGCGGCGTGGTCATGAGAGAAGCCGAGCATGCGCGCTGGATCGAACCCGTGAGGGTCCGGCCACCTCGAACTATTAAAGAAAAAACAACAGCGAAGGGAGCAATATAAGGCGAACCGTCCACCTGACCTACATTCCACCATCATTGCCGCCGGAGACCTCCGGTGACATGTCAGCGCGGCCCGCACGCCGCGCCTGACCGCGACGACGACCAGGCGAGGGCCCAGACAAGCCGCAGCGCCCCCACATGGCCTCCTCCACCGGCAAACTCCAGACAGCCACGGGGCGGGTCAACGAGCGGGCCTCTGCGTCCAAGCATGCATCCAGGGCTCCGCACACAGCACCGCCCAACGCCGGACCGAGTGCCCTCTCGCCGCCCGGACCAACCTCATCCAGCCTCGCTCCTTCACTAAACCATTGCAATGCAAACCGTCATCTGTATTTACACACAAAGAAAACGAGGAAATCACTCACATACAGCGACACACCAGTCCATCGCTTTAGCGAGGGCCCAGCGTCCGAGCCGCGTGGCACCTTACTACATCTCACACCCGAGCCCCTCCCCCTTTCACCAGCTCCACGGGAGGGATCCGATAACCGTGGCCTGCGCCGCCCGGTGGGGAGGCGGTGAAAGGGCACGCTCGAAGCGCCAGCCGTCTATGGCCCGGTGGGATGGGGAACAACAGTCTGGGCACTCACATCATGTGCGCTGTCGCCGGTGACTGTCGTACGCCGTGCCGAATGTCACAGCCGGGCGCTGTGAGCTGGGGCCTCGGAGGGTCGACCTCGAGATGCAGCTGTAGGCGTCGGGCGTACTCACTGGCACTGCACTCTGTGTCCTCCGGAGCCTCTCGCATGTTGTTTTATCGATTTTAGACCCCTCTCAACTGGGTCGGCCCGCCTTCATCTTCTCGCGTGATTCAATGGGTTTGCCGCCTCTCCCCCTCCGTCCAATGTGTCACCGAGCCGGCATGCACCGCTCCCAGAGCCCGGCCCTCGACGTGCCCCTGGGCCAGATCTCGGGCGTGACGTCGCTGGCGACGCCGCAAGGCCCGCCCGCTCTCGCCTCGAGCGGGCCCTGCGCGTCACGTCTCTGGCCCAGTTCCCACGTTGCGTGGCTCTTCGATGGCATCTGGGGCGACGGCGGCACCGGCGCGGCGGGGGTTGCTGGGGCGAAACAGCAAACATCCTCACAACATGTTATTTGCGCGTTCCTGTGCACATGATGTTTCGCCGATCGCCCGCTCTCGCCTCCATTTCTCTTGGCGCGATGGATGATTTTGGCAGGTGGGGCCACCGTCATGGCTGTTCTGGGGGAAGCACCTGGCCTTGTTTTGACGACGTGAGCTGATCGGTCGGATCGTCGAGCCGAGCCGCATTTACCCCTCGGCCTGATGGATGTGTTTGTTTATGGGGTGGGAGGGGGAGCCCTCGACCATGGCCGGCTTGTTCGCTTTCCCACGCTCTGAGCGCGAAGCCCTTCTGGTCCCGGACGGGTGGCACGCAAAACGACGAGGCATGAAAATGCACGCCTTCATTAATGAACATCCCTTAATTTCACGTCCCTGTGAAAAGTTCGTGCCACTCGTTATTCTAGGTCCCCTTTCCCGCTCACCTCCATCGGGAAAGCCTCCCTATGCACACTGCAGACTCTCATGGGTCCGAACACCATACACCGCAGACAATCGCACACCGCCGCTATGTACATCGCGGGCAATCACACGCCACCACTATGTTCAACGCGGGCAATCGTCACCACGCGCGCGAGAGACGCATCGCGCCGGCGCACACGCTCCTCTGTCGAGTCCTCTCGCGTCGTTGTTCGAACTAGATCTGCAGACACCGCGCTACGTAGGCACCGCGCTACACTCGCCTCTTCGCCTCCTTCGCCTCCCGCGTCGTCCCTCGCGTTCGACTGACTCGGGACGACCTCGTCGACCGCCTCGCTTCCTTGCCCTTTCGTCCGGGTCTTTATTTGTTCCTCCTCCCTGCTCAGCTTGGCCCAGCTCCCGTTCTCAGATAGTCGTGACTCTGCTCCGCCGACACAACAAGATGTCCTAGTTGCTACATAAATTTCCTGAGGTTTTCTACTCCCCGTTCGTGGTGACTCCGCCTTTCCTCCAGTCTCGACACCTTGCTTAAGGTCTCATCGAATCTTGTTGTGTAGTCCTCCTGGACCGATCGCAGGGCGGTCGCTCTCTCACCTCTCGTCGATTGTTGTGTAGTCCTGCTGGACCGATCGCAGGGCGGTCGCTCTCTCACCTCTCGTCGATTGTTGTGTAGTCCTGCTGGACCGATCGCAGGGCGGTCGCTCTCTCACCTCGCGACTCCCGTCGGCATCTCTTGCGGCCGCAGAGGAAACAGGGTCACCAGGAGCAAGCCCATCACCCCCACGGACCCGAGCGTCATTGGCCCGTGCTCGGCGATGATGGCTCGCCAGCCTTCCTGGTCGCGGTCGCCGTTCACTAGTAACCTTCCTCTCTTCAGCTCATCGAAGATGTTCGCCAGAGTCCCGTTGAGGACGGCCTCGTCCGGTACTTCCGCGAGCTTATTCAACAGCATGGAGCTCGGTGGAGGACCGCTGGCGTCGGCTCGCGAAGTCAGGTGCTGCAGGCTCACGGTGGCGTTGTACACCTGCATGTCGTCAATTGATAGGTCCTCCATGACGCAGGTGCGCTGGGACCACGAAGTCATCGCCCGCCGCTGCACAGGCTGGCGGTAGTATGAATACTCCGGCCCCCTGCAGGTGGAAGCCAGACGATGGCGCACCAGATGCCTCCCCGCATTGGAGCGCAAAGGTTTCTATCTGGGGCAACGCATATGCCCAGCGATCTTGACCGACGTTTCAAAGAGAGGCCCGAAGCGGGATGATCCTCTGGGTGCATGATCTTCGAACGCCGTCCACGTCGCCTCGAAAGGAGTGGTACGTGCATGCTTCGCCGTTCGACTTGATGACTGGAATAGCCTCCTCGCCTAACGTAAGGGACGCCGTCCGCCTGCATTTGCTCATCTCTTCTCCGGTCGGCTCCACGTGTAAGCTCCGATCGGCTGAAAGAGCGAAGAGCTCTGCTTGGATTTCGGTCAGGACGGCTGCAGAGCGGCCCGCAATCCATGAAGGAAGGGGAAGGACCTGATAAAGGTAGAATAGTAGCTGCCCTCTCGGCCCGAACAGCAGACCAGCCGGCTGCAGCTCCAACATTTGAACTCAGTCGCCGGCGGCGGGCGCTGAGTAGGACGGCGCTGCGCACAGCGCAAGGCAGCCCAATGCGTACCAACCTGGAATAGAGTGGTGGCCTTAGTCGGGTTCCACCGCCATAGATAGACCGGGCGGCCTGCGGGCCACGTGCTCGAGCCGGGATATTCTCGGGGCGATGGGGGAATCGCTCGCAGCACGGCGGCCAGTGTGCGGTTGAAACGTTTGCACAGACCGTCAAACTGCGGGTGGTACGGCGTTGTGAAGAGCTGGGATACTTTGAGCTGTCGGCAGATCTCCTTGACCAGGTTCGATCTGACATTGCTGTCGTTGTCAGTGATGAGCCCTGCTGGGAGTCCATACTCCAGAAGCTTCTCCCGGCCGACCCCGGCGGTCGTTTCGGCCGTCTGGTTTGGGACGGCCACGGCCAAAACGTAGCGGGTTAGGTAGTCTGTGACCGCGATGACGTGCTTATTTCCCCTGCGCGTCCACGGGAGGGGACGGAGCACGTCTACTGCCACCGTGTGTCTTGCCGTGAGTGGCTCCGGCAGTGGTGGGCGTCCCGAGGGGGCGCGCGTCTTCGGGCCTCGGTCTTTTATCTGGCAAATTTCACAGCCCTCCACATACTTGTACACCCGGGAGTACATGTGGTGGAAAAATATATCTTTCTGAGGGTGGAGAGCATATTCTTTGTTTTGAAGTGCCCCGCGTAGGCGTCTCGTACGGCGGCCGGGATCAGCGACGCAGGCAGAACGGGCCTGGCTGCGTTCTCCACCGTCTCGTCAGCACGTGACGTCCTCCAGCACCCTATTGTCGGCGACACGGAACGCGTAGTCTTGGCCCCACGGAGGCATCGGGATTTGCCCGGCCATCGCGTCCATCGGCTGCTGACAGTCCTCGTCCGACGCCTGTTCTCGTTTCAGTTCTCGTTTCAGTTTTGTCATTCCGACTTCCAGCGACGATGCGGCCGGCAGCCTGCCATCCTCTCCGCCGACATCCTCTTCCGCGAGCCGTCCCCGGGTCCTTGTTGGATTCTTCGGCTTCTGGCTTCCCCTCGGCATGCTGACGTGAGGCTCACTCTTCGCCACGGCCGCTACCTGCCGTGCTTCGATCCCTCGTTGGTGCAGTCCAGCTAGGGTGCCGTCCCCACGGGAGCAGTCCCCGTCATCGAGTTTTTTTGGAGTTGCTAGCTCAGCAAATGATACCCGAGTTCCCGACGTTTTTCTTGGAGACCAACACGACCCCGGCGGCGTATTCAGAGATGGATGGCTCGATGATGCCCCTTCGTAGCATTTCGTGTACTTCACGTTCGATGGTCGCTCGCTCTGCCTGGGCTACCCGGTAAGCTGGTCCCCGGAAGGGCTCTGCTGAGGTCAGTTCTATGCGGTGTTGGATCAGCTGGCACTTCCCCAAACCGCCGTCCCACGAAAAACAGCTTTCATAGTCCTTTCAGAGCCATGTCAGGTCCTGTTTCTCCTCTGGGCTCAGCTCCCCGATTTTCACGTCACCGGCGTCCCATTGGCGACCTTGTTGACTTGCCGGCTGGTTGTCGTCCGCCCCAGCCGCAGTGTCTTCTCGCACGCTCACTCCAGACGCGTGCGCTGGTGACTGCGGGACCTTCACTCGGGATCCGGCGGCCGGTTCCATTGTCCCCGGCCCCAGGTTGAAGACCTCTACGGCCAGAGTTTGGTCATCTTGTCTCCCTTCCTCGGAAACCGATATCACAAGGCCTTCACCCTGCACCTCTGGAGAGCTTCCGCGGGACTCATGCAGGTCTGACCAGTTTGCCTCTTGTCTGTTTGCTTGCACCGTCACTCCGGTCCGGGCCGACACCGAGACTGCTTCACGAGCTCCAGGTAGGCTTCCTCCTCTCGCCTTACCCGTTCTGGCTCGTCCGGCCTCGGAGTCGGCTCTATCCCAGTGACACCGACTGCTGGCGCCCGCTCTCCCGTTATGACGCCGAGTGGCGCTTTGACGTGCCGCCGGTTGGACATGGTCCTGCTGGCGCCGTCGATGGTCAGCCCGTGTGCTGGGATGAAGTCGAAGTTGATGATCGGCTCATGGAGCAGTTCTCTGCAGACGTACACCCAGTGAAGGATAGGCTTTCCGCACACCGTGAACTTGACACGCTTCAAGCGCTGGACGTCGATTGCGTGGCCGGAGGCGGACTTCAAGACTATTAGCGGTGCGCGTTGGTCGCCTCCCGTCCAACCGTCTTCGAGGGCGGAGCTCCGGACCAGTGTAGCTACTGCTCCGGTATCGATGGGGGCGGTACAAGTACGGTCTTCGATGCGCATACGGAATGTGCGCACGGCTGGAGGCGGTGTCAGTGGCGCGCTCTGCTCTTGCCCCGCCTCTTGACTTTTATGCCGAGTCGGCGGCGCTTCCCGTCCCCGTTCAGGTGATATCCCCGTCCGCTCGCATCTCTTCCGTGTCTCTTCATTTCCCAGCTTCGTTCGGTTCGCCCTCGGCCGATCCTGCCTGACGGAGAAGGTCTCGTCGCTCTGCAGGACCGGCGACCCGTCGCGACGCCAAAAGTTCTGGTCAGCCCGATCTTGATATTCTTTTGCCACACGTGAGAGTCTTTCATTGCCGCTCGTCGGCTGGTCCCCTAATGCAGCCGACTCCTCCCGTTTCCCTTCCGCAGGAACTTCTCGGGGCAGCGGCGGGCGTAGTGTCCAGGCCGATGGCCGAAGAAGTAGTTTCCCTCCCTGAAATCTTGTACTTCCTCTTCGTTCCACCTGCCCTGGCTTGGTCGCCACTCTTCGTCCCTGCCGTGCTCCAGGTGCGAGCGCCAATGCACGGACTTTGTCCGCCTGCCCCTTCCGGCGTGGCCGCCATGGTACGCTCCCTCATACCGGTACGCCTCTCGTCGCCCGCGGGGCAACGGCAGCTGCTTCTGGTACGGATGAGAGTCGCCTTCGCGCCGTGATGGCCGCTGCAGCTCGGTGTTACTTTTAGGACCCCGATGTTGCTCGTCCTCTTCCTTGTCGCGTTGGCTGCTCCTTCCTTCCACCGGTAATGTCTCCATCCTCTTTCTTCTTTCGTCTCGGATTTCCATAGCGGAGACGAGGGCCTCAATAAGGTTTACGGCTGCCGGTCCACCCCTATACGTACTGAGAACCTCTTCTTCTCTGTGCGTCGCTTCCAACGCCTCCTCTTCTGCCGCGACTGCCATTGCTTCATCATACGTAGCGCATCGCTTATGCCAAACCATCCGACGGAGGGTGGGGCAGTCCTCGCACGAAGTTGATGCGCCTGATGTAGTCCAGCGGTGGGTTCCGTTGTCTTGCGGTCTGTGCCAGGCTGTCGCCGTGTCCTTCCTGGTCGTTGCTCCCATTGCCGCTGAGCGGTCCGCATCCCAACCCCATGCGCCTGTCTTCAGGGCTCAGGGAAGACAGCGATAGCTTCCTCACTACTTGGGCCCATTCGTGCACGGTTTTCCCTTCTTGCTGACCGGTGTGGAGTAAGAACTGGTTTCACTGTTCCCGTCCGGCCGTCTAATACCTTTCTTTCAGGGCGCGTTTGAGCGATGGCCAGGTCTTCGCTTTCTCGTCCTCTTGCAGATGAACGACGAATTCGATCGCATCTCCCTTGAGCCGGATTAAAGTCACCTTCAGCATCGTATCTTCTCCCCAGCTCGCGAAGTCGCTAGCCCGCTCCAGCTCTTTGCTCCATTCCGTGATGTTCCGCGTCCCGTCACATTCGTCCACTGCGTGTAAGACGAATTTTTCCATATCGTGTGCGCTGTCGCCGGTGATCGCCGTACGCCGTGCCGAATGTCACAGCAGGGCGCTGTGAACTGGGGCCTCGGAGGGTCGACCTCAAGATGCGGCTGTAGACGTCGGGCGCATTCACTGGCACTGTGCTCGGTGTCCTCCGGAGCCCCTCGCATGCTATTTTGTCGACTTTCGACAGCTTCTCAACTGGGTCGGCCCGCCTTCGTCTTCTCGCGTGATCCAATGGGTTTGCCACCTCGCCCCCTCCATCCAATGTGTCGACGGGCCGGCATGCACCGCTCCCAGAGTCCGGCCCTCGACGTGCCCCTAGGCCAGATCTTGGGTGTCGCGTCGCTGGCGAAGACGCAAGGCCCGCCCGCTCTCGCCTCGGGCGGGCCCTGCGCGTCACTCTCTGGCCCAGTTCCCACGCGGCGTAGCTCTTTTGATGGCATCTGGGGCGACGGCGGCACCGGCGCGGCGGAAGTTGCTGAGGCGAAACAGCAAACATCCTCACAGCATGTTATTTGCGCGTTCCTGTGCGCATGTTGTTTCGCCGATCGCCCGCTCTCGCCTCCATTTCTCTTGGCGCGATGGATGATCTTGGCAGGTGGGGCCGCCGTCATGGCTGTTCTGGGGGAAGCACCTGCCGTTGTTTTGACGACGTGAGGTGGTTGGTCAGGTCGTCGAGCCGAGCCGCATTCACCCCTCGGCCTGATGGACGTGTTTGTTCGTGGGGGAGGGGGGGGGAGCCCTCGGCCCTGGCCGGCTGGTTCGCTTTCCCACGCCCTGCGCGCGAAGCCCCTTTGGTCCCGGACGGGTGGCGCGCAAAACGACGAGGCATGAAAATGTACGCCTACATTAATGAACCTTCCTTAATTTCACGTTCCTGTAAAAAGTACGTGGCCACCCCTTATTCTAGGTCCCTTTTCCTGCTCACCACTAGGTGACCGAAAATTTGGGCACGATCGCGCAACATGCCGGAGAAGCATCCTCAAAGACCCTAGAGAGGTTATATCTCACCAGGGCGAGGATTAAGGCACGTAGGAGAAAACACTTGACTTGTAAGAGACTCAAGATGGACCCCACTGCCTCAACACGCTCTATTGATCGACAGGAGGCCCGAACTGATCTGTCCTTGGTCCCGTTACAAACACAGGAACCTCCGCCAGCCCAAGAGACGGTACCGATTAGACAGACCAGAGCACCCAATATGCCAGGCGATGATTTAATTATGTATACCTAAAAGTTTCGCAAACCCAACCTATTTTGTTCGATGCGCGTTAACTTAAGTTCGCATTCATTCGAAACGCACCCGCCGAGTGACGCATTGTCTCCATTTGTGAGCTGATGCGTCACCACACCCTGTTAACAGTCAGCGGCAAGCGTTTCAAAGCAGGCATCAGTCACCCCTATCCGCCAGACCTATGAGTTCCTAACAGCTTCCCAGCTTGTGCGCCGCACCGCAGCTAGCCTGCTCTCCTCGCTCCCGACCTTAGCCGCTGATAGGGCTACTGTTGTCACTGATACGCCGTCCAACCGCCGCGCTTGGACTGATTTATGGCCACCAGTACGCCGTCAGTCATTTTTAAATATTTCTCAGATAACTCGGACCATATGGTTACCGATTTTGATGGGCCGGGTCTCCATCAAAAACCTGGGGTCCGAACAAGCCTCTACAAGTGATCAGACAACTTCAGTGGGGTTCTTGCGAGGGTCCAAGAGTGGAACAATCCTCCCCCTTTTCTTAAACTTCATGGACTAGTTAAGCTGACTGCATTTTTAAGCACTTCCATATTACGTGTCTTTCGACCATAACAGTACGGCTGCAGAGCACCCCAAATTCGTGGCGAAAGCAGGATTTTAGGGGTACACGATGCACTCATGTTTCATAACCGAGCAGAGTTGCGATGTAAGCTGCAGCTTTCCCCACTCAGCCCCACGTTGTAATACTTGTATGCGTTTGTGGGGATCAGCGGCAGACCCAGATCAGCGGCAAATGTATGATACACGAAATTGGTGGAGAAAACGCATGCTTGATGCGGCCTTGGGACGCACACAGGTCAACCGCCCCAAATCCTCCTCGCGGCGGCGCGCGGGGTCCAGGGACCTCGGCTTGCAGAGAACAGGTGACTTTGGAACGAGGGAGCTGGGCTGACGGGGATTTGGCGGGTGCGGTACGACGGAGGTGGGCTGAAGACGGGCTGCCGCGTGCACAACGGTTGTGTATGCGTGCTCCATAGATGGCACCCGAACAGGGACGATAGATGGTGCAGCGACAAGGACTACCGGCAAGTGGCACCGCCTCACTGCGCGGCCAGTACTGTAGTTAAGCGAATCGGTTTGCTTCGGGCTCAGGTGGCGTGGCGAGTGGCGCGAGGTTTTGACGTGCGTTGCTGGAGGCCGCCCGTGTTTCGTCAACGGCGATAGTAGGAACTACTTTGCTAAGAGAGCCGTATTCACTTAGTGTGTTATCTTATGTGTGTGTTTACTTAGTTCAAGATGCATTGTGATAATTTAGTATTCGGTGTGTTAATTGAGTACAAGTGATATATGACGATTACTCTGCAGTCATTTAATGTGCTGTATTCTGACTCCGTATGCCAGCGTACTTACTTTACTGGATGGCAATGTTGTGTTTGTTTCAGAAACAAAAACAAAAAAGCAACTATGTAAGAGAAAATAGAAATGTCTCAAAGTCCCTTTTCCGCCGTCCATGACAGTTTCAGAGCTGTTAGCTGTGTCCACCTGAATTTCTACCCCCCAACGTTCATCAGTCATCTCCCATGAACCATGGTAATTTGCCTTGTCCTTGCACATTGATTGCAACACATGTAGCCAAGGTATGCCGAAAGCTTGTAAAGTGCATATGTATGTTGAAAATTAACGTGAAAGGTTAAGACTCGCACTCAAGTGTGAAGGTTTTTGTATTATAGCCTGCTGTTTCATTGTTTTCTATGTTTGTGTGGCACAGGTCGCATGATATTGTCACTTCCGCCAATGCTGTCGTACAAATCAGTTTCCTAGGGTTTTCGATTTGCTGGATTGTTTCAGTTTTGTAAG